CATTCAACAACGAAGTCGAATTTTACTAAACGGAAAACGGGAGTGTGCAAGGATAGTGTGTTGACTAAGACAAACGGGTTCGTAGTCTGTGTGCAATCACCAAAATTACCCTCACTTCCCGGCTCACACGATAGGAATCCATCCTCTGGCGAAATTTAAAATAGACACCTCGCTGAAATTATGCCACATCAAGCATCCCAACCGTATTTAAATTAGTATTGTGATGACTATGGGCAACAATGCAGTCGCGGTCAGAGGTGTCAATATGGGCACACCCACCTGAGAGAACCAGCTGGGTCGGTAATCCAATCCCCCAGTCATGACTGGAATGAGTTAGTGCGTACGTGCATGCGCAGATGTGATGTGGCAGCAATCAGCTCGACTAATTTCTGCCTATATGTCACACAATCGATCAGTTATTGGACTGAGTGCCTTTGGAGCGTCCGTTCTCTCTTTATCTCACAGACACACTCACAGGTCTGGTTTCAGATGGCGGGAGAAAATACATTAGTTTAAAGGAGTAAAAACGAGAGAATTCAGGGGCTGATAGACCCCGAAATCGTTAGAATACATTCTGATGTAATCCGAATGCAAACTCTTTCTTCATTTATACTCAGAATGTTCACCCGTATTCAACCGGCAGTCTGATTCCGTTATTCGTATTAAACTATCACACGATTCCTGTTTGATGTTAACTTTTCACATCAGAGGAGAAAATATTGAACCCAAACCGATTAGACCTGCGTTGATCATCACTTGCGTGAGGAATCAGCTCTTGTATGAGAGTTAAAGAAACTCTTTGAGTGTGCTCGTATCAGTGAATATAGGCTGCATATATTGATTATTGTCAGTTCAGTTACTCTGATGGATGTAAATTATCTGTCATCGGAGAACGACAGAAGAGTAATTAACTTGGTGGACGTTATCCCAAGGTCGCTAAGAGTGCAGGTCTTTGTTTCTGCTACACACCAAACGAGTTTCTGGAAAGCAAAGACAAATCTTTATTTCAGTTCCTTACTTCTGATAGATTTAGGAATATCAAAACCTATTCCTCATACAATCACGTTTCTCTTTCCTCAGCAGTTTTATCACCATTCCTTTTTTGATTAGATTTCCAATATATCTTGTATTGAAAATGCTGACAGCCATTTTGATCGGCTTCAGCCATAGCCGAAGGTGACTGACCGACTTGTGTATATTAGCTGAGATTGGAAAACTTGGTGATTGAAGTCATCAACACAAAATGACTGTGTCTGTTTTTGAAATTATCCATATAACCATTTGAATTATTTAAATGTATTCGATAACATTTGAAGGACTTTAATTTTTAATCATATCTAATGAATTTGATTTACGGATATGCGAAAAACGGAAGCCATAAAGATAATGCATCGCAAATACCGTTGTAGTGAAAAATATAATTAGTGATTACTGTTCCAATAGTTAAATAACAACTTGTAACTTCTGAAAAGAGCCAAACTTTCTGATCAGACAAAAGAATGTCAATTAATTGAACATCTTTCACGATATTAATATCCCAAGGGCACTGAACTATGGAATCGAGAGCTTAAAACTTCTACGCCAACTGAAAATCAGCTCATGTTCCAAAGAAACTGTGGACCGAATGGCAAGTCAAGGACAGTGCCCAGCATTTTGAGCGTACAGGATCGGCTCATTGCAAGCGATCAATAAGGCCTCTAGTAGCCGTACACGTTATGGATTAAAATGATCTAACAATGTTCGAGACAAGATCGGTCAGGTTGGTCTTAAGACCATTGTCAATGAAACGGCGAACGATCGCTGATATCAGCTAATACGTGGTGTTCCCGTTCGGTTGGTTCGATCGAATCACCGCTTAATTCTTCCATGTCTTTGATCAACCAACTGTGGTTTCCTTTTTAAGCTACGAAAAGCGTAATGATTTATCATCTTCAGTAGTCATTTTTGGTCGATGATAGTAATTGAAGGGATTTCCTCTAGCTGCATATGTCTTCGATCAGGTTTGACCATGTTTATCACAAACTGTAAACTTCCTGAAAATTGAATGTGCACTTATATGGTTAATGAATGAAGAAGGAAATAAAAACAATATTGTGCATTGGTGAGAATAGTTCGATCAGATTAACCGAGTGATTTGTATCGGCTTACTACGTAGCAATCCTAGTTGCTCCATTTCCGATCAGTCTGTTACCGAGCCATTTAATGTGAGGATCTTGGATAAACTCTGCCGACCAGCTATGTAGTGGTTCAAAAGGTGTAGCTTGATCCATAGGAACAAATGAACTGATGCGTACGTCATATTTTCATCTCCAATATCATCGTGTGTTTAAGTGGCAATTGGTTTGGAAGACAAGACAGAGCGTAACCCAACGGTATANGTATATTGTATTTATAACCTGGACCATTAACTGCCTACTGATCATCTTCGTCACAGTGCTACCTCCATAAAGTATAGATATGTAGACGAACGTTTTGCAATACTGGGTAATTTTTGTTTCATATGAGCCGTTTCTATACTCTTCCATAATATACAATCTGGATACGCATTAGCTGAGAAGATGCNGAAGATGCCTATCAATTTGACTATAGTTCTTTGTCTCTTCCTTCTCCTCAACGTAACCTTAGCGTTCTACTCACGACACTTCGGACTGTAACACTACTCAACTACAATAATTTGTATATTATCCAGTCCAAGTGTGCTTGGTTGATTCATCCGAGTATTGAGACAGAAATAAGTGTAAGAATGCGAGACTATTGTGTAATTTTATCTCCAACATGAATTGTACACAATTGTGTGGCGATCGGTTGACGAGATGCATAACTTGGTGGGGTTTGGAGAATTAACTATCGCAAATTATACCGTCCATATAGTGGTTCGGTATAGAGTAGATTATTTTGTGTATTTGTTTTGGACCATTTAGGCACGAACACAGAGTAATAACGGGTAGCTGACAGCGATGCCGTACTTTTGGTCATGCAGCTCACCATCGAACAAAAATTGTGCATACATGAATATGTGTACACAAGAGCCTTGGGATTTGTTCAACGGATAATCCAACGCCTATTTCCGTTTGTTCGATTTATTGGAACACGAAGTTGATAAATTTCTCGAGAGGCTTCGTATGGAATAGGGATACAACGTCGTGGGAGGATATGTTCTTTCCGGATTGATTGAGAGATTTGCAAGTATCTACAAACTCAAAGCTGTCGCGCTAATTGTAGGTTTTCAGTTCTTTTCCGGTTTGGTGCGTGTTGTGGCCTGCGGTCGAGTGAAACGTTTACCGTGCATCACGTGTTTGACCATTGCGACCTGCCACCACACGCACGGACGCACGTTACGCGGACTTACCCTGTTACAAGGTCGATCCACCTCAGCGAATCAGAGGTCAGCATTGATCTCTCCTCATTGATTGGTTCGTTGACTGCCCAGCGTGACGACATTCCTTTTGGTAAGATTTGCGCCAGTCTGTGCCTGCCTGTCTGCGTGTTGACGCACTGCTTGCTCACCGGCTTACGGACCGGCTACGTTTGCGTTTACATACTGGAAATATAATTACTACTCATTTGCTATATACACGACAAATTCACATTTGAAATTTAGCCAAATCCTCCATTACTCACATGAAATAATCAGTCAGGTTGTGAATGTTTCCAACCGAGTCATAACCCCGGAGGCTAGTGCTGAGTTGAGCAGGGTCCGTGGCCCGCAACAAACTTTCAAAGATGGGTTGTGCTATATCGTGTAAATGGAAAATGAAGAAAAACGGTCTGATCAGCTGCTCGGTGGCGTAGTGGGTAGCACGCTTGCGTTCTGCCCATGAAGTCCCGGGTTCGATCCCCAGTCGGGTCGATGGATTCGCACTGCTGATGAGACCCAACTAGGTCGAAACAGCTGTCCACTGCTTCCGAGCTTTTCAGTTCACGCTTCATTTGCTATAAACACGACGAATTCACATTTGAAATTTAACCAAATCCTCCATTACTCACATGAAATTACTACTTAATTCACTACTTGCGTACTTACTGACTCATACCGGATACAACAGTGCGGTAAATCAACTAACCATCATAAAGGGAGGTTTTCATGTCTAGAATAGAATCTTGTAACCAACCCTGTTTATGTAACTCAGGTAACCCGTTAATTTTTGGAAGGTATCCGCAATTGCCGATTTGTTCGAACGTGGCTGAGTTGATGACGCTGGTTGGCTTTAGTTGTCTAACTGTTATCGCCAAGGCCATTTCTATTGCAATCTTCTTATCTGTGTTCAGCCAAATTTTATGTGAATTACGTTATCTTCTGACGGTTTTTTTTGATTTCTTCACGATAAATACTGCGGTCCAAAATTACAGTATCTCAGCCTACATTTGACCCCGTTTCTATTGAGATTTTTCAACCTCTAAATTGTTCGTGACTTTAATTCCCTTGCGTCCATATGTTGAGATGAAGGCGGGCTAGAAACTGTTCAACGTTCAAAGACTTGACCATGTTGAAGGAGCTAGATAAGTGTACTAAAAGATCATCAATATGTACTTCCGATACCGGAATACATCTTCAAAAAATTGAATAGTATTACTTGTTGCTCCAAACTTGATTTATCGGATGCATATCACCAAGTGAGCGTTCCTGATGACTCAAACTAGCTACTGAAGTTAAACGCTCATCACGGTTTGTTCCACCATCTGTCTTTGAGCGTCAAATCTGCGTCAACAACTTTTCATCAGCTGATGGACACGATGTTGACTGGTATCACGGGTACTGCAGCATATTTGAATGATACCATCGTTATGGGACACACACAAGAACTGTTTAGCCGACTGAATGGTAAACGGATTCAATATTATGGTTTCAGAATCCGAGAAGACAAATGTGACTTATTCATGGCCACCATCAAGTATTTCGGTTTCCTTTTTGACAAAGATGGACGCCGACCTGACCCAGAGAACAGTAAATCTATTCAGAATATGCCACCACCAAAGGATTTGGTTACACTCAGATCATTCTTGGGCCTCGTAAGTCATTGCAATGCATTTTTCCTTGATATGCATCGTGCAATGGACCAACTTGTTGCCAAAGACCAACCATGGAATTAATTTATGGAATACCAGAAAGCCCTCGATTGTGTTAAGTCAATGCTCGGCCCAGACCGGCTTCTGACACATTTCTACCCGGCACTTGATATCATCGTGGCATCCGATGAATCAAACATCGGGATTGTTGCAGCCGTCCCTCACAAATTCCCAGATGGATCAGAGAAGGCTGTTTCACACATGGGGTTAGGCCACTGACTGTAACGGAGCGCAACTACAGTCAAGTTGGAAAAGAAGTCTTGGTTATCATTTTCGCCTTGAAAGAAGTTTCATAAGACGCTCTATGGTCGAAAATTCATCCTCATCACCTACCACAAGTAACTAAAAGTTATTTTTGGTTCCCATAATGGTATTTCAGTCGATACCTTTCCATCTTCAAGTGGATCCGTTGTAACTTCAAGTGAGTTCAACCAATAGCATTCTACTACAAATTGCTTGGTGCTTCAACCGACACAAGTCACCGATTGGACCGGGTCTATCAAAACCCCGTCAAGTCGGAGCGAGCTGATTTCTCCATAGACAGACAGAAGTACTTTTTGAATGAGTTACCGAGCGAGGATGAAAAATTCGGTGGGGTAGGGTGGGGATTGACGTTTCCTTATCCCCCCCTACCTCGCCTCAACCGGGAATGTTATTGTANGTTATTGTAATGATTGTAGTAGTAGTAGTAGTAGTAGTAGTAATACGCACCGAACTCAAAATACAAACCACGCAATAGGAATCACAGGATACAAATCGAGGACTAGCAATCACGGACTGGATTACGGAAGCACTGGACCGCAATGATATGAGCTCGCAATATCCCACGCGACCGAGACGCCAGGAAACGGCCAGAAGAATGTTAGTTCGTAGTTCGTTTATTGGAAGGAATAAAGGCGATTAAATAATATGAACAAAAGAAGACCATTGGTTATCTAGGCTTTCACCAATCGTATTGCAGTATTGCTTACCTGATTATGCTTCTGTCTGCCCTGTCTCGGATTAACTAGCATAACCTGCCTATGGCGTGTAGTCAGAAGCCGTACGCGCGTCATTGATGTGACCTTTCAAATTTGATGGATCGCAGGAGTCCATCACGACGAGACTGCACCTTGACGTGGTGTGATGGTGGTGGTGGTGTGATGGCTTGCGTGCCTCAATGACCCTGCGAGCTACACAAGATGGCTTCTCACAGCCGTAGATCCAATCATGCTTGAACGGTCAACGGGTAGAGGCCAGACGAAGACCAGTCTCACAAAGCCAGCTGCTTGGGCACCTCCTGGCTTCCTTTTCTATCTACACGCGCCCCTGGAGAGGTCACTCCAGCAAATAAACACGGTGAGGGGCAGTTCACCGGTCAAATAACCCCCGCTAGATGGAGGTAGAAGCGGAGTACCTGGGGCTTCCTCTCGACGATGGGAGAAGTCTTCGCACTTCATTGGACAGCTACCCGCCGCCCAGGCTGGGCAGCCCCCAGCCAATGAGGTGCTGTCCCGTCCACGTTTCGCTTGTCTCATTGGGTATATGAGGCTAAGGGATGATCCCGAAAAGCGGACCGATAATCAACGCATCAGCGATCAACAAACGTAACCGAAATTCAAAGGCCTTGCGTGACAGGTCTCCAGAAGTTCCCACACGGGTGCTTCGTTCACGCTCCCGCGTTGAATTTACGCCCCACAGCCTTGTGGGTCAGACTTTTGAGTCAAAGGCTCCGGTTAGAGTTCCCAAAGAAAAACCCCTTCGTCGGTGTGGGCTACCGAGAAGTATGTCGTACCCTAAATTCTTAGGCACCCATTTGGACAACCATCTTTCCCACCTGTCTAGTTCTTCTTCTCAGCCCCGAATAATCCCAGATGCCTCCTGTTTAAGCCACCCATCGAGTATCAGTCAGCGTTTTACAAGCAAGGCCAAAAAATCAGAAGTTATAAGATTTTTAAAGCCATATCCTCTTTTCACTTAGCCGCTTTCAATGTCCGCACACTCTATCAGATCGGTCAACAAGCTGCTCTAGCTAGAACCCTTGAAACTTTCAATTTAGATGTGTGTTGTATCTCCGAAACACGCATACAAGACCCTACTTCCATTATCTCTCTGCGTTCTCTTGATCCAACCTCAACCTCACGCTTCACCCTTTGTGTGTCAGGCGATCCGGCATCCCAAGCTCGCGGTTTTGCTTTGAAAGTACTTCTGTCTGTCTGTGGAGGAATCAGTTCACTCCGACTTGACGGGATTTTGATAGACCCGGTCCAATCGATGACTTGTATCGGATGAGGTACCAAGCAATTTGTGGGGTTCGTAGTAGAATGCTATTGGTTGGACTCACTTGAAGTTACAACGGATCCACTTGAAGTTGAAAATGTATAGACCGCCACCCACCTTCAATAGTGGTCACTCATCCTTCTCTGTTAAGATTTTGAGATCCGCTGTCACTCGACCAAATCTTTCGGTCGAACAGATGCACTCTCAAGGCTTATCAACTCTCAAATAGCAGAGTCCTATGAAAGCGTCATTTTTTCGACATCGGTGGAAACACACGTCAAATTCCTCGTTCCCGATGTTCTACACAGTACACCAGTGACAGCCGAATAAGTTCGGAATGGAACACGACACAACCCTCCGCTTGTGAGGGCAACGCAATCCTCCATGCATATTGACCAAAATCATAGGATTCCAACGAATTACATCAATTCTTTCAACGGAAATATTCGTTGTTGATTGTGAACGGTTGCATCCTATTCGCTGAAAGAGTCGTGATTCCAAATACGCTACAGAAAAGAGTGCTCCAGTAATTCCACACCGAAAAACCGGGAATCAACCGCATGAAATCACTTATCCGTAGTTATTTTGGTCGTTCATCGATGAACAACTGGAGGAATTCGTCGAAAGCTGTCACCAACGCGCCTCTACGTCCAAGATGCTAATAAAAATCAAGTTATGCAGTTAGTCAATTCCTGACAAACCCTGGTCGCGTGTTCACGTGGACTTTGCAGGACCTATCAACGACCGTTCTTACCTTGTATCTATTGATGCATTCAGCAAATGGCCCGAGATTTTCCTCCTCGATAGCCCCACGTCAACCTCAACAATAGTGAACCTCCACCAGCTTTTAGGTCGTTTTGGTATCCCTGAAACGCCGGTCAGCGATAACCGTACCCAGTTCACATTACGACAATCTATGGAAATCTACAAGCAGAATGGCATCAACCACATCCATTCGCAGTCGAATGACCAAACGGATAGATTTGTGAATACCCTCAAGCGGGTATCCCAGAAGTCAAAAGGAGATGGAGCAGCCACAGAAGTCATCAAAACTTTTCTGTCTCTCTACCCCGAACCCGAACTCGCCAAATGGAGTCTCCTTAGCAGAGGTCTTGATTAACAAAAGTTACGTATGTCGTTTGATCTTTTACGCCAAGCCACCAACAACACTGAAAGAAACCAGAATATGGAAGAGCAATTCAACCGGTGACACGGAGCCTTGCAATTTTCCTTTGTCCCAGTTCAATCGGTGTTAATGATACGCTATGAAAGCGACGGTTCTCGCTGGGTGACTACCAGAGTCCTGGGAAGACACAAGCGCAGTCCAAATACGTTTTGCTTCACACAAATCAGTTAAAGTCAACGAAGTGTCACGAAGAAAGAAATCAGTCAACAAAAATCTTTCGGTAAGTTGTTGGAAACCTTCAGTCTACCGAGGTCCCCAGAGCCAGGTGAAGTAAAACAGAAAGTGCCAGACTCGAAGCCGTCAATTTATCCAAGGCCGCATACAAACAGGAAACGGAAGCAAACCACAAAACTGAAAGTCAAACCCGAAATTGGAATGTACATATCAAAAGGTGAAGTATAAATGGAAACCTAACCTTCCCTGAGAATAATCTGGGGTTTGCATTTGAAATGGATTGGGATCAGCCGCCATCGTGATAACGTGTCGGCGTTTTATCGAGGGTCCTGGATACATATTCGTCAGAGCAATTTGATTTGTGCAGTCTTGCTTAATCATGCTCAAATTATTTGAGAGATTCTTGTTACCGTGGGTTGTAACTGAGTCTGAAGAAAACGACATATATCAATTTGCATATCGCTCTTCGCGGTCAACACTTGATGCCGTTGCATATCTTGTTCATTCAATAATCTCGGCACTAGATAAGAAAAGTAAAACCGTCAGAATGGTGTTCTTAGACTACAAAAACGCTTTCGGCAGTCTGGATCGATCAGTATTGCTCAACCTGATTACTGAAAGTGGTGTAAATTCAAACGTTAGCAGACTGATCTGTGATTATTTCACAGATAGAAGGCAGTTTACATGTCTCAAGGGCAAAAAGTCCTCCACACGCCCAGTTTCTTCTGGTGTTCTGCAAGGTGCAATATTTTCCCCATTTTTTCTTTTCAATGTATGTCAAACAATTCCCCATTCCTCCTGCATTCATGGCTGTAAATACACAGATGACGTTGTTTTAGGTTGCAAAGCATCCAACCCTGAAGAGGCTTTAGAAATTCAAGGCAAGCTAAACGATGTTATTACTTGGTCCTTGTCCCGTTCCCTCTTGGCCGATGTACCACATTCAGCCCTCACAGATAGGTTCCCCACCCTCTCTGCCAATCAACAACCCGTGCCGAAATCAACAGCAGTAAAATACCTTGGCGTCAGCTTATCACACAATTTATCATGGTCACTGCATTTTCAAAAGACGTTCTGTAAAGTTAGAAAGCTTTCATATTTCTCACTCCGACTGAGATTACGTTCTGTTCTCCATAAGCTGATTAGTAGGCTTAGTCAAAGTCAAAGTCAAAGTTTTATTATGGGAATAGCTTACAAGCTGGTGCTTCTCTT